AACCCTCATAAGACCTGTGCATACGCCTCCAATATGTTTCTTCACAGTATTTGTTCTCTTCTGCAATAATGGATGGATGCTTCTGGAAATCAAATATGGTCTTCGCATCCCATTACCTCCAAGACATCTCTGTGACGGATGTCCAAGGCCTTCACTAGTTTGGATGCTTGGTTCTTGTAACAACAAGTCCCTAAGACACATCTTCGCAGATAGAGGTGTATAACCAGTTTCTGTTGTATTACATCTGCCTCGTGTGTTTGTGTTTATTGTACTCATTCGGGCTTCCCAGACTGAGTCTCCGGTTGAAGGATAATATCGCTCATCTGTAGAGACCCTGGTCTTCAACTTTGAAGTCGCCATTAGGCGCAGCCGAACCCAGGTTTCCCGATCCCTTATTCCACACACCTCTACCTTAAGTATGTTTGCTGGGTAGTGGATTGATGATCATTTTGTGGATGTTGTTGGTCATTCCTCTAACATCCTAATCCATCCACACAATCATCCCCTTATCCCACACACCTCTACCTTAAGTATGTTTGCTGGGTAGTGGATTGATGATCATTTTGTGGATGTTGTCGATCATTCCTCTAACATCTTAATCCATCGACTCTATCATCCCCTTATCCCACACACCTCTACCTTAAGTATGTTTGCTGGGTAGTGGATTGATGATCATTTTGTGGATGTTGTCGATCATTCCTCTTACATCTTAATCCATCGACTCAATCATCCCCTTATCCCACACACACCTACCTTAAGTATGTTTGCTGGGTAGTGGATTGATGATCATTTTGTGGATGTTGTCGATCATTCCTCTTACATCTTAATCCATCCACTCAATCATCCCCTTATCCCACACACACCTATCTTAAGTATGTTTGCTGGGTAGTGGATTGATGATCATTTTGTGGATGTTGTCGATCATTCCTCTTACATCTTAATCCATCGACTCAATCATCCCCTTATCCCACACACACCTACCTTAAGTATGTTTGCTGGGTAGTGGATTGATGATCATTTTGTGGATGTTGTCGATCATTCCTCTTACATCTTAATCCATCCACTCAATCATCCCCTTATCCCACACCCACATACCTTAAGTATGTTTGCTGGGTAGTGGATTGATGATCATTTTGTGGATATTGTCGATCATTCCTCTTACATCTTAATCCATCCACTCAATCATCCCCTTATCCCAAACACCTCTACCTTAAGTATGTTTGCTGGGTAGTGGATTGATGATCGTTTTGTGTATGTTGTCGATCATTCCTCTAACATCTTAATCCATCGACTCAATCATCCCCTTATCCCACACACCTCTACCTTAAGTATGTTTGCTGGGTAGTGGATTGATGATCATTTTGTGGATGTTGTCGATCATTCCTCTTACATCTTAATCCATCGACTCAATCATCCCCTTATCCCACACACACCTACCTTAAGTATGTTTGCTGGGTAGTGGATTGATGATCATTTTGTGGATGTTGTCGATCATTCCTCTTACATCTTAATCCATCCACTCAATCATCCCCTTATCCCACACCCACATACCTTAAGTATGTTTGCTGGGTAGTGGATTGATGATCATTTTGTGGATATTGTCGATCATTCCTCTTACATCTTAATCCATCCACTCAATCATCCCCTTATCCCAAACACCTCTACCTTAAGTATGTTTGCTGGGTAGTGGATTGATGATCGTTTTGTGTATGTTGTCGATCATTCCTCTAACATCTTAATCCATCCACTCAATCATCCCCTTATCCCACACACCTCTACCTTAAGTATGTTTGCTGGGTAGTGGATTGATGATCGTTTTGTGTATGTTGTCGATCATTCCTCTTACATGTTAATCCATCGACTCAATCATCCCCTTATCCCAAACACCTCTACCTTAAGTATGTTTGCTGGGTAGTGGATTGATGATCATTTTGTGGATGTTGTCGATCATTCCTCTTACATCTTAATCCATCGACTCAATCATCCCCTTATCCCAAACACCTCTACCTTAAGTATGTTTGCTGGGTAGTGGATTGATGATCATTTTGTGGATGTTGTCGATCATTCCTCTTACATGTTAATCCATCGACTCAATCATCCCCTTATCCCAAACACCTCTACCTTAAGTATGTTTGCTGGGTAGTGGATTGATGATCATTTTGTGGATGTTGTCGATCATTCCTCTTACATCTTAATCCATCGACTCAATCATCCCCTTATCCCAAACACCTCTACCTTAAGTATGTTTGCTGGGTAGTGGATTGATGATCATTTTGTGGATGTTGTCGATCATTCCTCTTACATGTTAATCCATCGACTCAATCATCCCCTTATCCCAAACACCTCTACCTTAAGTATGTTTGCTGGGTAGTGGATTGATGATCATTTTGTGGATGTTGTCGATCATTCCTCTTACATGTTAATCCATCGACTCAATCATCCCCTTATCCCAAACACCTCTACCTTAAGTATGTTCGCTGGGTAGTGGATTGATGATCATTTTGTGGATGTTGTTGGTCATTCCTCTTACATCTTCATCCATCCACTCAATCATCCCCTTATCCCACACACCTCTACCTTAAGTATGTTTGCTGGGTAGTGGATTGATGATCATTTTGTGGATATTGTCGATCATTCCTCTTACATCTTAATCCATCGGTTTAAGCATCCACAAGCATGATTAAAGGTTGTCGAAGCATTAAAAGAGATGCCAGACCGGCCAATGCTAACGTTCTTGTAGATTCGACGAATGGGTACATCCCTTCTCAAATATAAGTCATACTCGTTCGGCTTGGCCCTATGAACATATAACACATATTGTACCCGACTTCATGAGTTTTCCTCTGTTCGCATATCAGGATCTTAACACTCTTTGAGAGAGTATTTTTTATTCCTATCTTCAAGTTTTTTACTTTATTACATATTGTACCACTGTTAAGCTCCTGCTTCCTCATATATATCCTGCGGATAAATACATAGTGTGAGATAGGATAAGATATGATAAATTTGGAAATATTACAATAAATTGCATATTGTTATACTTATCCAATTTCACACTTTACATCCCAACCCTTCCGTCCTCACATCACAATTCCTTCATCTATACACTTTTGAAAAAGAATGAGTTTGCTGGGAAAGGCATGTGAGTAGCCCAAGTGGGTCAACCAGCATGAAAAACATGCACGACCCAGATGTTGGGAGGTGACCATGGTGATGTGAGGTATGTACAGGTGAATTAATTTTAGAAGCTGGAAACATACATTTCAGAAGAAGTTTCTACTTTGGATTGAAAGAAGAAAAGCTTTGTGTCAGATATAAGTCTAAGAATATATAATTTATTGTAAAATTTCCCATGTTGGCTCTTGCAAAAGGTGTCAACATGTATGCCTTGGTATTTTTTATTTGAACAGATACTTTTTAAATTATAGATCCATACATGTACAAAGAGGCAAATATACTGAACAACAAAAGTTCCTGTGACATTGAATAAGATTTAATGCAAAGTTATGTTTTTTTACCAAATCTGAAACAATTTCGGTTTGCAACAGATAAAAGACTCCTGTAAGTGTTCAAATGGTTTAATTTGCCATACTGACTTCAGAAAATGCATGATTTCATAAAAAACATGAACATGCCAAAATGTCAATTTACAAATCAATAGCGTGTGTGTCCACCTCTGGTTGCGATGCAAGCAATACATCTTCGACCAGGCGTCACACAAAGTCCTGTGGGAAATCTGTCCATATCTGCTGGAGCATGTTTCAAAGTTCCTGGAGTGACTGTGGAACACGTGGTTGACTTCGAAGGCGCCGATCCATCTCATCCCACATGTGCTTCATTGGTGAGAGATCAGGGGAGTGAGCCGGCCAGGGGATGACATTCACGTTGCTTTGTTGAAGGGAATCCTGAACAAGTCGAGCAATATGAGGCTGGTCATGTTGAAAGGTAATGCCTGGGCCATGACGACACAAAAACGGTAGAACAACAGGGCTGATGATCTCATCGCAGTAGTGCTGTCCATTGAGATTTCCCTCTACCACTATCAAACGGGTCATCTGTCTTGCTGTAATCCGACCCCATACCATAACGCTGCCGTCCCTGAACCGATCTTCTTCCAAGACACAATGATTGACGTAACGTTCACCTCGACATCAGTACACTCGAATCCGTCCATCGCTGTGGCTGAGGTGAAAACAAGACTTGTCAGTGAATAGAACTTTTCCCCACTGCATGGCCATCCAGCGTAGACGCTGTCTGCACCACTGTAGACGTGCTTGACGGTGGTTTCCTGTCAAAATGGGATGACTGGCAGGTCTTCTGGCGACAACCCCTGCACATCTGAGGCGACGATGTACGGTTTGTGAAGATATTTGTCGAAGGCCAGGGATGCTTCTTGCAGTCACTGTTGCTGGATCGATTTCGTAGGTGTGTTGTTCGAATCCAGTTGTCTTGTCGATTATTGGTTATGCGTGGCCTGCCACTCCGAGGATGGTCTCTGACTGCATTTGTCTGTTGCCAACGTTGCCATAAACACCAAATGGTGTTTCTGTGGACGTTAAATTGTCTTGCAACATCACGTTGACTTGATCCTTCTTCAAGCATACCAATGGCTCGCAGATGCTCATTTCGGACAGGCATGGCATTTCATAATGTTGAATAATTGCGTAATTTTGTTGTTTTTCTGAGTGGTTGTTGTCAGCACGATGCTAAACAATGCATATGGAATCCCTTTAACGCACATGTTTTTATACCCATTCTTGGGTAGTGGAATGCATGGGGCTTGCATAAAAGTCAACTTTTGCATGGAATGCATGCTTTTCTGTAGCAGTTGCGTTTTTGTGACTTGATTCCATACATGTACTTCAATATTGAAAACCAAACTTTACTTGTTTGAAAAATACCCTAAGATATTGGTGTCACAGGAACGTTTGTTGTTGAGTATACTAGCAAATGCAGACTGTTTCCCACATTGTGTCATCCATCTGTTTATGTGTTCACAGACCTGGAACTTCTTGATTCCTGTCGGGAAGAGTTTCACCGCCGCCTCAAGGTCTACCATTCATGGAAATCCAAGAACAAGAAGCGCACGGACAAGGATGAACAGCGAGCCCCAGAGGGTGTGGTGCAAAATGGTATGTTTTTGTTTGATTTCCTCAATGTCTTGTTTTACTCTAGTATATTTGTGACAGGCTGGCAAAGTTTCTCAACCAGTAGCCTCAGATGCCCTCCGTCTTACGTAATACTTGGATGTGACATGTCGAAAGTCTGTTTTCAAAGCTTTGTGTTCTTGTGTGTGACAGTCTGCAGTTAGGGGCAGGATTGATACTTAACTACAGAGTCCAACTGGGGTACACCTGGCCCTTGAACCACAGAGTGATCTTACTGCTACCAAAATCAGTACTTTCACAGACTTTAATACTGTAGTTGTAGCATTAACATCGCTTTTTATAATGAGACACAGGACTTTTGGTGACAGGTATCATTAAAAGTATTGAACAAAGCAGCTGGTGTGACAATAAGTGGACTAATGTTTGTTCAGCTTCAACACATACATCTTCCTCCTACAAACAATGGAATGGAATTCAAATGAAGATTATAAGGACAATAATTCAGATGTTTGCATACTTGCAGACGACGTGAGAGGCGTTGACCCAGGTAATCCCATAGATGTTCAGTTGGCGATAGATCGGGTGACAGGGCTCGCCATGGAAGCAGAGGCACATTATTGTTCGCTAGGTACTGTGTTGAAACACCTGCTGTGTGCGCTCTTGCATTATCTTGCTGGAAGGTGTGCATATCCTGGTGCTGATGAAAGAATGGGATGACGTGATTTGCCAATATGTTATTCCTGTAGTAAAGGGCATTCACTCTTCCACAACAAACATGGAGCTCTGTTCGATGGTTATGACTGATGCCGCCCCACACCATGACACTCCCTCCCCCCCCATCGATCTGTCTGTACAACGCAGTCATTTTGGTAACGTTCTCCACGTCGACGCCACACTCGTAGTCGACCGTCAGCATTCTGTAAATGAAAACGGGACTCAACAGAGAACAGCACACCATGCCACTGCCGCAATCTCCAATGGCGATGCCTTTTGGCCCAACGCAGACGTTCATTTCGATGTCGATCAGTGAGTATGGGTCCAACATCTGAACGTCGAGTACGTAGCCCTGCTGAGCGGAGACGTCGACGTACGGTGTCAGCACTGATCAATTCCGTCAGCCTTGTACGGTTGCTGCAGTCCTGGTAGCCGGAAGTGTACGATCACGAAGATGCCGACGAACAATATGGCGATCCTGACGTGGTGTAGTTACACGACGTTGACCCAGACGTGGTCGATCTCTGGTGGTTCTTGTCTGCTAGTATCTGCTCAGTAGCCAGAGGACTGTTGAATGATGGCATTGAAACCGTTGTGCAACGACTCTACTTGACGTACCAACTTGAAGCATGCCCAAGGCACGTTCACGTTCCTCTGCTGTTAATCTTGGCATTTCGTGTGTCAGTACCCTTAACGTCTGCAGCAACAAGTGATGTGGCTTTTAAAAGTCTGTCTTTTTAAGCCTTATTCTGCATGCTTCCCGTGAAACAAAACACGTTTTCCATGATGTGCACGCAATTTGTTGTGTTTTGGCGATTTCGCTCACAAAAAATTTAGGAATGTGTTTTGACGAGCTGTTCTTCTTCATGCTTCGTCCAGAACGTCGTACATTACTCATTCACTTATATATTTTCATATGACTTAAGCCCAGATAAAAATACATCCATTTTCATGGTGGTGCGTTTTCAATGCTGTTCAGTATATTTTTATTTTGCAATCTAAGTCAAAATCGAAAACAAAAATAAAAATGATTACCGTATTTTCTGGAGTATAGTGCGCACCCATGTATAATGTGCACCCCCCCTCTAGCGGATTCAATATTTAAAATTAAAAAAAAAATTGAATATTATGCGCAGAAAAAAAATTACACCGTTCCCCTTCAGCGAAGTCCGGCAAACGAACAGGTGATGAGAAACTTTGTCATTACAAATTCGAAATTTGAGATAAAAAATAACCAGACATGTTGATTTACCGTTTAAATTGTATTTTTTGTTCTACTAGGCATTATTTTATATCCAGGGATTAAGATTACCTTGTGTATTTTCTCGTAAACTAAGCCGGACACAGCAATCAGCTGTACACACGTTTTCTTGGAATCTACCGGTGATTCGGTCAAGACACACCCAATGATATAATTTTACGGTATTTTTAATGCAAGGATCGGCAAAAATTGTATCTGAAACTTTTTTTTTATCAGCAATAATATATTCCAATATCTTGTTAATTTAGATGCAGCTTTTACAAAACATATTTGAAATAATAATAACCCTAAGCGAAGCAGCTGATCGCTATTGCCGGGTATTGTTTTTTACATGGAACCAGTCTGACCATTCACCGTCAAGGCTCCCGTGCATGTGATCGCGAGAATTACGTGTTGACATAGAATCGTCCAACCACGGACGTATATACATACGTCTTTGGTCCAACAAAAAAAAATATATGACTTTTAACGATTCAAAGTATGGCATTTATGATATATGTATCCATTCTCTGTCAACTAAAGTTCGTTTCAAGGCGTCAATAGCGGTAATCTGACCGTGGTTGCTGTTAATAACGGTGAGTTGTGCGATCTTCCGATTGCTTCACACACGATTTCACCGAAATTAATTAAAACAATATTAAAAGGAAATTTTGAATAAAATTAATGAAATAAGTTACAAAGTCCAGATATACAAAGAACACTTTTTATAGCCAGACAGTGTAATTACATGAAAAATTTGCGTACTTCAGTATGGATTTGTTGACATGGTATATCCGATTTTACGTGGTCACGGTAATGTCTTTCCATGGGGGGAAAAAACATCAAAACTCATAATTTGTGTATAATGAAAAAAAGTGAGCACTATACTATACTATATAGAAAATATGGTACTTTCATAAAGTGTCATGTGTTGGTTCCTCCTGCCCTCTGCATTAGATCAGTCACATACAGGAGTATAGTAATATTCTTACAGGGCTGTGTGGCTGTTGTATGCCCATTGTTGATACATGGGCTTGATTGTATTTTATGAGCCAGTGATGTGTTGGGGACATAATGTACTGGGTCTGCTGCAAGCAGTATTGTATGAGCCAGTGATGTGTTGATGACATAATGTACAGGGTCTGCTGCAAGCAGTATTGTATGAGCCAGTGATGTGTTGATGACATAATGTACAGGGTCTGCTGCAAGCAGTATTGTATGAGCCAGTGATGTGTTGATGACATAATGTACAGGGTCTGCTGCAAGCAGTATTGTATGAGCCAGTGATGTGTTGATGACATAATGTACAGGGTCTGCTGCAAGCAGTATTGTATGAGCCAGTGATGTGTTGATGACATAATGTACAGGGTCTGCTGCAAGCAGTATTGTATGAGCCAGTGATGTGTTGATGACATAATGTACAGGGTCTGCTGCAAGCAGTATTGTATGAGCCAGTGATGTGTTGATGACATAATGTACAGGGTCTGCTGCAAGCAGTATTGTATGAGCCAGTGATGTGTTGATGACATAATGTACAGGGTCTGCTGCAAGCAGTATTGTATGAGCCAGTGATGTGTTGGGGACATAATGTACAGGGTCTGCTGCAAGCAGTATTGTATGAGCCAGTGATGTGTTGATGACATAATGTACAGGGTCTGCTGCAAGCGGGAGGGTAACATCCTGATGACACATTCACACATAGCATTGTGTGGGAAGGTGTTTGTGGTGATGGATGTAGGTGTTTGTGGTTATGGATGTGTGTTGTGTTCTTGTCTGTGTTATTTCTTTTATATAGATAGTATGACAAGTTGTCAGTGTAGCACTGCGGCATCAAAAGAAGCAACTGTTTGTATTGTGATGGATTTTTCTTGCTTTTTGTCTGTGCTGATTTGTGCATGTTAATGTTGGTGATTCTGATATGTTGTCACAACGGTGTTGTTCTTTCAGCACCACCAATTTCTAGGGCTGGTGAGTTACCTGGTGTCTCCATCCCAACCTTCAGCATGTTACTTTCCCCACCCTTCCCCCTATATATCACTGCAAGACACTCCCTGTTAAGTGTGATGAGATGTATTAAAGCACTGTTTGATACATCGCTGTATCCTACAATCATGAAACAATCTGTTATTATCACCCAGTGGTGACTCCATTCTTGTTGTGGAACTAAAATGGGCATCCATAGTCACAATTAATCAATATTGGCTGCAATGATGTTGCAAAAAGCACCACAGGCTAAATGTTAGAAATAACCATTAATTTTACTTTTCATTGCCATAGTGTGTACTCCTCAAAGAGGTAAAACAGTAAAGCCTTATCTTTTACCTGGGGGCCATCCTCGGTTGCTGTGACCAGCGCATGTGAACCACCAGGTTCCTAATTTCTCTCAGCTTTGGCTTGTGCTGGGCCGATGTGTTTCCACTTTGCGCACTTGACAAGTTTGTGCTCTGGCATTGTACCTTGTGCATGGATGTTTTGCCACCAGGACCATCATTTCATTCCCTCTGAAGGATGAAGAGATACACCCCTTATGTTTGTCTTGTTGCCAGGAAGGCTACATGCTTATGTGTGGGCTGAGATGAAGCTACATGGGTGGAGCATGAGGAGTATGTCTCTGCAGCTGCTTCAGGAAAGAGCAGTACTCAGCATGCAGGGTAGAGAGGGGGGGATACAAATTGTTTGTCCTCTCATTCTTTCGAGACACCAGCTAAATCATTAAGGTTGCGGGGCTCCACTTCATCTCCCAAGATATGTTATCATGAGGTGTTAGTGTGCCTCTGCTGCTGCCTGTCTCAACAGCCATGGTGCCCCTCCTCCCATGGAGATTGAGCGTGTAACACCATAATCAGTCTCTTCTTCGATTATGGGTGGGACAAGAACTTGCTCCCCTGAACCCCTCAACATTGGTACAATGTGTGAAGGCCATTTCCGGTGTTCCCCACCGTGATATTGCTGGAATATTGCTGAAAGCGGCGTAATACCATACTCACTCACTCCCCTGAACCCTATAATGTTGATGTTCGAAAATCCTCTCGATCTTGGCATTCCTTCACTGGTACCCAATTTAGGGTCCTGCCTATTTGGCTTCCCTGTACCTGGACTCGACCCGGTGTCTCTGGTCTTTAGACCTTGTTCACACCTTTGGCAGGCTCCGGGTTTCCTGACATGGACTTTTCCTACTTTTTTTTGGCTCATCTCAGCTATTGAGGTCCTGTGAATACCTGCCAAAGATGGCCATTTCAGGTACCTCCAGCTGAAAGCTAAGCTTTTGCCGTTTGACCTCTGTGAGGAGTAAATTATAGAGTTTGGTCATTGATTGAGCAAGTTGAGATTACTCAATGGTATTGTCATATTTAAGGGAATTATACCATGAATTTGGAAATACCTAATTCAAATTGGTCAATCAGAGGTTTAAAATCACAATAAGTACCTCTGATTGCAACATGATTTGATTATTTGATTTGACCTGGCTAAAAGATGTAAAACAGTGTTTATTGTCACTTTCACAAGCATCAGCATGTCTGGTGCAAATATCCAGCAAGACAGGTGTTAATTAAGTTTCATGTATAAAACCACCTTTTTTTCACTCCTGTATATACTCATTTATATGGTGGCATCTGCTCCTGCATGAGCCTACTGCCCCAACTCACCAGAACACACTGGTGTACTGTATAGTGGTCAGCTTTAGTGAGTATGTGTAACAAATACTATATACCTTGAAATTAATGCGTCTCCAAATTATTACGACTGCTGACCTCTAGCCAAAAATGCAACTCAATATCAATACAACTCCCCCAAACCCCCTCCCCAGTGATACATATCCTTACCTTAAAGGAGCACTGATCTAACGCAATTCCCCCGGACTGGTTGTTGCCTTTGTTATTGTTTTTTCCCAGTGAGTTCCCGGATGTATAGCAGAAATCTAGACTAGTTCGCGACCTCTGCTGCGCCATTCGTAAGCCCATTAGTCACTTGTATGGGTAGTAATAAGGGCGTATGGTCACATTGATCAACAAAATGAAATACAGTTTTCGAGATAATAAGGAAATGTAAGTATCTTTGTGGATAGCATCGGTAATGGTGACGAAGTTTTGATAAGTCACTTGCTTGGTAATTTTGCGATTTTCGTTTACACTATTTTGACTTGCAACACAAAGTAAATATTTCACCTGACCATTGCTTTTTGATAGTGGGTATATTTTTTACTGTCAAAATGTGTAACATTTTCAAAATTTTTAAACGCCTAAATATTCAGTTATTTAACAAAGTGACTGAACATTTTTTTCATCTGTGTTATTATGATAACGAATTCCAAACATTTTGATGTTTAATGTCATCACCAAGAGACTGAAAATGTTACGTTGAAAAGTACATTTCTATGTTGTTTGGCTTCTAATCCTACATAATAATCTGTTGTAATGTTTGTAGGCCCTTTTGATCGTCTTAATCAATCTGGACAGATTTTTTAGTCAAAATGACTGAAATATTTACACATTTTATAAATTGCCTGAGAGAATCACATTTTACAAATTGACGGTAATATATACACGCCTACAAGGGAAAAGGCCTGTGAAAACAACGTCTATCGCGCATTGAAGAATTTCCCAACCAAGACGTTAAGAAACAAGGACAAATCGGTTCAATGCTACAGCTAAAGAAGGAAAACAAAATGCAAATACCATAATTACAACCTACCAAATTTATGTGTATAAATTTTAGGCAGCAGCTTCCTTGTTCGAAGAATGTATCTGTAAATATCCACACAAAGGAACAATATCCCACTCGTCTGCAGCTGTACAAAGAAACTTATTCGATGTCACGTGTCTCTGTAACAATCACATATTTTAAAAGATATATATCGTTTCGGGATATTATAACCCGTGTTCGTTTCTCAACTGATCACTTGGATTGTTTCAGGTGTTTCACATAGGTGTCAAGTCTCAAGGGTCAGCTGAGAAAGCCCACGTGACAACTATTTTCATAACGTCCACGGTTCCTAAAATATCCATTGAGTGATAGATAACAATGACCAATCAATCAACGTATTATTAGTTAACCCTTTGAACAAAGTATGTTTTTTATACATCGGCACTTCACGCCATGATATGAGTGTATTCCCTTTGTTTGAGTAAACCTAGACATGTAAACACTCACTTTTGACATATCCACTGTGCAAGATAACAGTGATTAATCAATCAACGTTTTTTCTGTTAATCCTTTGATGACTAGGAACGATCCGTTGATTTACAAAAAAAAGTAAATCAACTGATCATTCACCTCTTGATGGTCTGCCACGTGCATATTACATAACACACATTTCACCTCACTTCAAAGCTGGATTTAGATTGAAATAATTACCCCAGACACAATAAATGCCAAATGGGAACCTTTGTCAGGTAATCTAAGTGGTGCTACCACTAATTGTACCTGTAATAAATTAATTAACTGAGCATCAAGTGAATGACGACAAATACACAAGTATAGGGTTATATGAGAAAACATGGATGACAACAAGGGAGTAGTAATCGTATTATCGACGCAATCCGAAATCCGAAAATGCTTTCACTGCATGGATACTTTTTTTAGTGTTAAACTATAACCATCTGGGGTATTTCCAAATGACGACATCCGATGAGCTCCGCCGTTCTTTTTGTCTGTTAGTTTAGGCTGAAGAAATTAATTAACATGCACCCTTTGTCGAAATCTTTAAAGATCACGGTTAACCAATCAGTGTTTATGCAAAAATGCGTAAAACAAATATTGCCTCCAGCCTCCAAGTTTATTTAGCTGTCCTTGCAGACGGTAGCCCAGTCTCTGGTCACGCTCAGTTGCGTTGCGTATCATCCGGGTACTCACGGGAAAAAAAACAATAACAAAGGCAATAACCAGTCCGGGGAATTGCGTTAGATCAGTGCCCCTTTAATCCAACCTTTACCTTAATCCAATCAAACAGCAAATAGCACTGCTTATTAGCACTGAGTAGAGCACTTCTGTAAAAACAATAAACAGTGTTTTTTCTAAAACACAACACAGTTTAAATGTGTATTCTGTTGACTGACATGAAGGAAGTTCAAAGGCAATAAAATAATTGAACCAACAAGAATTCCCTGATTGGTATGCAGAGGTGTCAACAAGCTTGAAGGCAAATGACAGGACAAAGGCTATAGATCTGAGGAGTGTGATGAAGCCTATCTGTGCGAATTGGGTCATGTCAGCCTTTCACAAAGTGTTGCATGGGTGGCATCTGTCTGGACAGCTGGAGTGTTCAGTGATGCCTAGTTTGACACAAGTGGGTAGAACTCTTGACCCCAGCAGTGATAAGTCACCGGATGCCTATTGTGTAATTCCTATTTCTATTCTTTGAATGACATTGTTATATACTTGTTACAACTGCTGCTCAATAAACCGTGTTTGTGTTTATATTCAAACTGGTATTTCCACTATCCAAAGTGTGTAGTGACTCGCTCTTATTGTTGATAGTAATATTGGAGACATAAATGCGAAGTTTAATAAATGCAAACAAAGACTACTTGCATTTTTCGCATTAAATTCACGCTCGCATTAATTTCAAGGTTTACAGTATTATCTGGTGTTTGGTGGAGTATTGAACAACTGGTTTGTGATAAACAAAGTCTTGTATAAGCAATTGTGAAGAAAGGTTGGGCAGACAGGGTGATGGTCATGTGCATGTAAATTTTACTGATATTGCAAGAGATGCTGCATGTGTATGTACGCTAGATAAAACATTATTTTGTAGACCCCTGTAGACACTGTCTTCTTATGGCTTAAACTGTCTTCACATATGATAAATGTAGAACATACACTGTCTTTACATTGATTTATGTTGCATATACTGTCCTCACGTGGGATATATGTAGCACATACACTGTCTTCCCGTGGGATATGTGTAGCACATACACTGTCCTCACATGGGCTATATATAGCACATACACTGTCTTCACATGGGATATATGTAGCACATATACTGTCTTCCCGTGGGATATGTGTAGCACATACACTGTCCTCACATGGGATATATATAGCACATACACTGTCTTCCCGTTGGATATATGTAGAACATACTGTCCTCACATGTGATATATGTGGTACATACACTGTCTTCACATGGGATATATGTAGCACATACACTGTCTGCACATGGGATATATGTAGTATGTCACATGTCATTAGATTAGGTGATGTTTGCATGAAATCAAAATCTGTAGGACAGCTGGCAGAACATACAACAACATCTACAGTCTTCAGGCACAATCGGAATATGTCCCTTCGGTTTGGGGATCTCATTGTAAATGCTGAATAATACTTTAGCCTGGTTCTTGACTTTGTTGTGTCTATAATGTATTGTTGACACAGTACGTAGTAAAATTGTTGCCTTAATTGATCCTTTTACCTTGTCTTTTGTGCAATCTGCTGATATCTAGGAATGAGAGAATAACTGTGACCATTTATTGTCTGCCAGCTGAGAGTATGTCTATGGCACCAGCACGCCAGGCCAGTTCCCAGGCGAAGGCAGAACAACGCTACTTCCGGATCCCTTTCTCTCGCCCAGCAGACGAGTACAGAGATGGAGGTGTGGAGAAGAAACATGGCTTCTGGTTTGCCCACTTTGATGGTCAGTGGATAGCCAGACAGATGGAGTGTTACCCTGGGAAACAGCCAGTTCTCTTTCTGGCAGGTAGGTGATCTCAGCAGACTGTCAGAGAATAGTGAGTACTTCTGGTGACTCTGTCTAAGCATTAAATCAGTGATCTGTGTACTGGTTATTGTTGAGTGCAGTTTCATGCTTCAGGCAGCAATAAAAAATTTTAAGTCATCTATTTCACGGCAGCCTGTTAATAAACAGTGACTCACAGCATAGGCATTGATCCATGCCCTTTAGGCACAATGACATGCATTCCACCAATTTACACATCGTAACACCATCTGTTTTGAAAATTATTTTTTCCTGAATGATGCTGGTTACAGTGTTTACAAAATTCTTACCTGATCTTACCTGGTTGCCATGGCACCAATATTGAAAATGTCATCAGTTTTCATGTATCTTAGTGCAATTTGGTATGACTTACAACAACAAATTATGTTTTCCTGTATCAAATCGATAGTGCCATTGGTCATGTAGTACTCTCAAGTTGTTCTGTGAGGAAGTCTGTTTAGTAGAGATCTCTGTTATATCTGTTGTATATCCTTTTTCACCCTTGTATGACTCTACTGATCATAATATTCCAGATTTTAGATGAGCTACTATTGTATTGTTGCATCTTCCTGATAACTGTTACTGTAGTGTAGGATTTGAAAGGCATTTAGAAGTGATACACATAAGGAAGAGGTGTTCCTGATTTTACATCTACTCAAGTTTCTATGAGGAATAAAAAATCAAAGTCCTTTTCTTTTCATTTTATTTGGTCAGTTTATAAGTGGTGGGTAAACTTTTATTCAGAAATAACTAAACATGGTTACAATGTATTTGTTATATGATGGCTGTGTATGACACTGCTTACTGTCTGGAGCTACCAGAGCAATGGTACACTGACTGTTGACTTTCCCCTGCAGGTGTGGATGACATGCAGATGTGTGAACTGAGCCTACAGGAAACTGGTTTAACCAATCGGAAGGGAGCTGAAATTTTGGAGAATGAGTTTGAAGAGGAGTGGAGCAAATTTGATGGTGGAGCTATTCTAAAGAAGAATTCCCAGAGAGTCTCCTCAAAATACCTGCAAAAGAAACTAGGCATTACTAAATAATTATTTTAATTAGTTCAGTGCATATCAGATGTAGAGTATTTATAACATGGTGAAAGAGCATATTTGTATATGAGGCTTGATTTACTGAGCACAGACACAGATAACTAATCCATATTACTGTCCATGCAGTGACCTTCAGAAACAATTGATCAAGGATGACATTTCTCCTGAGATCAGGTGGCAGTGAGAACTTGACAAAGTGAACCCAAAACATCTTAGTTCAGTTTGACACACAGGAAGAACAAGTGCTGTTTAAGAAGTAGAGTGACTGTTATACACCTCTAGTTTGGTATGTGCTTGTTTATTTGGTATGAGGGAATATTTGATGGTTGGTATACTACATTTATTGGTCAATTAACATTGAGCCTCTCTTTGATTATGTAGGCAATTTTGTTAAATGTTATTGAAACATACTGAATTCAAAGCTTTACACCAGCCTTTTTTTGCGAAACCAATCTTTAATACTGTCAAAGATTTATTATTGTTAAGTGTGTTTTAGAATGTAAGTATTGACTATAGCATGTTTTATTTGTACTTAGTTGTGTTCAGGTAGAAGGTAGGCTGCTGGCATGCCCTGTTGTTATGTTTTGTTTCTGGCATCAGAACAGATTACCAGTTTAGTTCCAGTGCAGGTCGGGAGGATTACTGATTAATTAGACTTAGACAATACAAACAAATGTTTACATGTTAATAACATGTTGTGTGGCATAACATCTACAGGAGACAGTACTGTTGGAGACTTAACACTTCATGGCCAACATGTTGTGGGGTGGTGACATCACATGCCTCCTGTGGCCAACATGTTGCTGAGTGGTGACATCACATGCCTCCAGTGGCCAACATGTTGTGGGGTGGTGACATCACATGCCTCCTGTGGCCAACATGTTGTGGGGTGGTGACATCACATGCCTCCTGTGGCCAACATGGTGCTGAGTGGTGACATCACATGCCTCCTGTGGCCAACATGTTGTGGAGTGGTGACATCACATGCCTCCTGTGGCCAACATGTTGTGGGGTGGTGACATCACATGCCTCCTGTAGCCAACATGTTGTGGGGTGGTGACATCACATGCCTCCTGTGACCAACATGTTGCTGAGTGGTGACATCACATGCCTCCTGTGGCCAACATGTTGTGGGGTGGTGACATCACATGCCTCCTGTGGCCAACATGTTGCTGAGTTGTGACATCACATGCCTCCTGTGGCCAACATGTTGCTGAGTGGTGACATCACATGCCTCCTGTGGCCAACATGTTGTGGAGTGGTGACATCACATGCCTCCTGTGGCCAACATGTTGCTGAGTGGTGACATCACATGCCTCCTGTGACCAACATGTTGTGGAATGGTGACATCACATGCCTCCTGTGGCCAACATGTTGTGGGGTGGTGACATCACATGCCTCCTGTGGCCAACATGTTGTGGGATGGTGACATCACATGCCTCCTGTGGCCAACATGTTGTGGGGTGGTGACATCACATGCCTCCTGTGACCAACATGTTGCTGAGTGGTGACATCACATGCCTCCTGTGGCCAACATGTTGTGGGGTGGTGACATCACATGCCTCCTGTGGCCAACATGTTGTGGGGTGGTGACATCACATGCCTCCTGTGACGAACATGTTGTTAGGTAGGTGACATCACATGCCTCCTGTGGCCAACATGTTGCTGAGTGGTGACATCACATGCCTCCTGTGGCCAACATGTTGTGGGGTGGTGACATCACATGCCTCCTGTGGTCAACATGTTGTGGGGTGGTGACATCACATGCCTCCTGTGGCCAACATGTTGTGGGGTGGTGACATCACATGCCTCCTGTGGCCAACATGTTGCTGAGTGGTGACATCACATGCCTCCTGTGGCCAACATGTTGTGGGGTGGTGACATCACATGCCTCCTGTGGCCAACATGTTGCTGAGTGGTGACATCACATGCCTCCTGTGGCCAACATGTGGGGTGGTGACATCACATGCCTCCTGTGGCCAACATGTTGCTGAGTGGTGACATCACATGCCTCCTGTGGCCAACATTTTGTGGGGTGATGACATCACATGCCTCCTGTGGCCAACATGTTGTGGGGTGGTGACATCACATGCCTCCTGTGGCCAACATGTTGTGACCAGGTTGTGGGAGAATGTTTTCAAGGAATTGCATTTGAAACTTCCCTTATACAAATATTTTCTTGTGAAGTTGTGTAGTTTGTTATGTCGTAACTTTTATTTATTGTTTAAAATACTTGATTACATTGTCGATTTATGTCCTACTGTCTCTTGAAATGAAAATCCATCAAGCATTCTTATATTGTGATTCCACAGTGTTCTCTACATTTGATGACATGTCCCTGCCTCAGTAGGCTCAATGTTGTGGTCTTCATGTGATTATTGTTACAAGTATGAAATAATTCAAGTGTCAACCATCTTTATGATGATTGGCAGAATTACACCAGCTATTTTTATTATTGTTTCACCTTATCGGAACACCATCATTCTGTTCTGAATAACATCACATATTTACATTTCAGTCCTCTTTTATCCCTTTATCCTGTGATCACACCAACAATTAGGATATATTTTTAGATGTTTTTATGGAGTACAAGTGATACTGCAATCATTCCTGGCACATGGTGACTGTCATGTTTTCCTGGAGTACCACAAGTTGTGGGTTATATACAAGCCAGAGGATAAGTGTACTGCACTGTGCCTGTCCCACAGATCCCTCCATACTCTGTGCTATGCAGTTGTCTGTACACCAACAGGGAACATGTTGACTTGTTAACAGATTAATATTTGTTTGTTCATGTACAAGAGTGAATATAAGTACTGTTATTTGGTATGTTTGTGTCTGAAGTGAAGTGTGTTGATGTTTTGTGTTGATCCATTGAGACCCTAAATATTGCATTCCCCCGAGGGCAGTTTTAGGTTCTGGTCATCCAACCTGACACTGGCTTTTATGCTCCGTGGAGCTGATTTGGTAACGTATGTATGAAATTAAGTAAAAGCACAAATGATATTCTATAAGAAAATGTGGATGAGAAAGGTGAAGATGTTTCTGAGGTCGCCCACCAGTAAAGTAAGGTATATCATTGCAACATTACAATTTCAGGTTAATTGACTTCCTAAATATTATGCCTTCTCTTAAAAAAAGATAGTGCTTGTTATAGGATGAGTGTTCATCTGATCTGAATCCTCTATTCATTGTAGCATTTGCTAGATCCCATAACAAATATCCTAATTCTGATGATTTTTAGAAAAGATTATTAGAAGCAATCCTAATGAACCATTTATGAGTAGAATAAATGAAAAATGCTGTGGGGCAGGTGTCACATGAAGCTACAGCTTGGTCAGATGAAACCTCATGTAAGCTGAACCTATGCTGCTGGTAATTCAGGCCACACAGTATATCTTCACATCTGGTCATGACAAGCTTGTGGGCCTACAAGCCTCACTTGTGACACATACATATGGCATGTGCTTACTGTTAATACATGGGATACCAATGGTCAGGGTCACAGTTTACAATCCCACCTATTTATTTATATTTTACCCCTTTTTTTTCTTCATGGCTTTTGCAGAATCCTACGTACACATGCATACTGATACCCTATGGTTAAATGGTATATAGCCAATAGCTGAAAGTCAATTGTTTGTGGTTGGGGGAACTTCAGATTCGGACACAAAGCTTACTTATGAAACTGTTCAAAATGAAACATGAAGTGTTTTGTTGGGCCAGCTCTGTGAATGTATGCACAATTTGGTCATGTTTACAGCACCATCACTTATTGTTGGCCATGTCACTCAGTCTATTCTAAGCTTCTCTGTATTGTGTGTAATGAATAAAGAGGATTGACACCAAATGTTTCATTGTTTTTGTTCGACAGATCCTGAAACAGAAATAATTAACTTATGGATTTAAACTTTTGTTTCAATGTGAACTTGATGTCACTCTTGACCTTTTCAGACCTGTGTCCTGCCATAATGATGAAAGATACCAAGTTTCATTAACTAACAGAAAATCTTTGAATTAGTCAGGAAAGTTTTTGACCTGCAGGACGACCTTACAACTTGACATATCAATGTGCAAATATTATTTCCTAGGGTTGTAAAGGAGACACATAATCTGATTGTGTGTCATTACAAGGGAGACGTGTACCAAGTTGCGTTGATGTACAGTAAATACTTTTTGAATTATCAGGCCTCCATGATGATCTTGAATACCTATGACATGATGTGTCAAACATTTCCCAGGTTATAAAGGAGATAGCACTCCATGGATACTAGTGTCATATTATGTATATGTGGCTACTTATATATTGGCTTTTGAATGTGCTCAATTCAACATTCAGGGAATTGCATGAAGAAAGCCATGATTGTAATGTAAGCAATTGGTTGCTTTGACACCGCTTTTAGCAATATCACAACTACGGACACCAGAAATGGGCAATAAAACCCTGGTCTTCAGCATGACGCGCGAGTGCTCTAACCATGAGGCTACACAACCGCCTCTTTGTAACAATAATAATCATGACAGCAAACAAATGATAAGCATTGGGAATTCACTCTGACAGGTTGCTAATGATCTCAACAAACCAATGTGTGATTTCAGTGTGGAAGATCCCTGTACTGCTAAAAGTTTACCTCAACCCCATTCTTCATTTCTGGGATGAACTTGAAAGTCATGTGAGCCAACATCTTGTAATATCTTTCAATCTGGACTGTCTGTTTGCAGCATTGCAAGACACAAGCCATTGATTAGTAACCTCATCCAGTGCATGGTCAGACAATTTGACATGACAACACATAGACATTAATTACATTGTAAAAACAGCACGTTTATTACATTACTGACATGTTCCACAACAAAAACTGCAATTGCTACATGGCAACACAGTATCTGAGGCTAAGAGTTGCTGTTAATACTCTCTTCTTCCTTGTAGCACTTGGCCATAATGAACCTGTCCCTCATCAGTTTAAATAATGTATAGTAGTTACAGAACAGAATGAGAGCCAGGCAGATGATGTGACTCCACTCCATGCACTGCAGCAAGCGGAAAAACTGATATGCCACCAACAACCAGGCCAAGATTAGCAACCAGTTGATAACCCGAAGTGGCTTGTGAAACAGGAACTGCAAAATTAAAAAAAAATATGAAAAAAAGACACTCGCTGGTAATGTGGCATTGTTTGTAGTACTCAGCACATATCCAATATAACTACATGTGTGCTTTGTAAGCATTTTCATAAACTACTGAACACTTGTCTTGAATCATATTGTTCTTACAAAGGGGCCCATGTTTCACAAGGTATTAATTATGGTAATAAACATACATATTCCAACAATTGAAAGAAAATATTCCACTTACATAAAATCTGCCATGCATGCTGTTTCCTGGTTCAGCTGTGACATTTATACCTTCAGCTTTAAACAAACCCCTGACATGTTTGACTAGAGCACCTTGTGGCCACACCTGCAGCTCCGACCACCTGAAACAGAAGACATACAGGGGCTACAGAGTGAGATCAGACACACAGGGACTGTACACCAACAGCAGACATACAGGGACTACACTGTGAGAGCAGACATACAGGGTGTATCCAGTGACATCATACATACAGAGTTACAGCAGACATACAAGGTGTATCCAGTGACACCAGACATACAGGAGCTACACAGTTACAGCAGACATACAGTGTGTATCCAGTGACACCAGACATACAGGGTGTATCCAGTGACACCAGACATACAGGGTGTATCCAGTGACACCAGACATACAGGGTGTATCCAGTGACACCAGACATACAGGAGCTACACAGTTACAGCAGACATACAAGGTGTATCTAGTGACACCAGACATACAGGGTGTATCCAGTGACGCCAGGCATACAGGGTGTATCCAGTGACATCAGACATACAGGGACTACACAGTGAACACCAGACATACAAGGTGTAACAAGTGACAGCAGACATACAGGGTGTATCCAGTGACGCCAGGCATACAGGGTGTATCCAGTGACACCAGACATACAGGGACTACACAGTGAACACCAGACATACAGGGACTACACAGTGAACACCAGACATACAGTTTGTATCCAGTAACATCAGACATACAGGGACTACACAGTGACAGCAGACGTACAGGGTGTATCCAGTGACAGCAGACATACAGGGACTACACAGTGACACCAGACTTACAAGGTGTATCCAGTGACACCAGACATACAGGGTGTATCCAGTGACACTAGACATACAGTGTGTATCCAGTGACACCAGACATACAGGGTGTATCTAGTGACACCAGACATACAGGGGCTACACAGTTACAGCAGACATACAGGGTGTATCCAGTGACACCATACAGTTTGTATCCAGTGACATCAGATGTACAGGGACTAAACAGTGACAGCAGACGTACAGGGTGTATCCAGTGAAAGCAGACGTACAGGGACTACACAGTGACAGCAGACATACAGGGTGTATCCAGTGACAGCAGACATACAGGGACTACACATTGACAGCAGACATACAGGGACTACACAGTGAACACCAGACATACAAGGTGTATCCAGTAACAGCAGACATACAAGGCATATCCAGTGACAGCAGACATACAGGGTGTATCCAGTGACAGCAGACATACAGGGACTACACAGTGACACCAGACATACAAGGTGTATCCAGTGACACCATGCATACAGGGTGTATCCAGTGACACCAGACATACAGGGTGTATCCAGTGACACCAGACATACAGGGGCTACACAGTTACATCAGACATACAGTGTGTATCCAGTGACACCAGACATACAGGGTGTATCTAGTGACACCAGACATACAGGGGCTACACAGTTACAGCAGACATACAGGGTGTATCCATTGACACCAGACATACAGGGTGTATCCAGTGACACCATACAGTTTGTATCCAGTGACATCAGATGTACAGGGACTAAACAGTGACAGCAGACGTACAGGTTGTATCCAGTGACAGCAGACGTACAGGGAATACACAGTGACAGCAGACATACAGGGTGTATCCAGTGACAGCAGACATGCAGGGACTACACAGTGACAGCAGACATAAAGGGCGTATCCAGTGACAGCAGACATACAGGGTGTATCCAGTGACAGCAGACATACAGGGACTTCACAGTGACAGCAGACATACAGGGACTACACAGTGAACACCAGACATACAGGGTGTATCCAGTGACAGCAGACATACATGGCGTATCCAGTGACAGCAGACATACAGGGTGTATCCAGTGACACCAGACATACAGGGTGTATCCAGTGACACCAGACATACAGGGACTACACAGTGACAGCAGACATACAGGGACTACACAGTGAACACCAGACATACAGGGTGTATCCAGTGACATCAGAAATACAGGGCATATCCAGTGACAGACATACAGGGTGTATCCAGTGACACCAGACATACAGGGTGTATCCAGTGACACCAGACATACAGGGGCTACACAGTTACAGCAGACATACAGGGACTACACAGTGACAGCAGACATACATGGACTACACAGTGACAGCAGGCATACAGGGACTACACAGTGACAGCAAGCATACAAAGGCTACACAGTGACAGCAGACATACAAAGGCTACACAGTGACAGCAGGCATACAGGGACTACACAGTGACAGCAGACATACAGGACTACACAGTGACAGCAGACATACATGGACTACACAGTGACAGCAGACATACAAAGGCTACACAGTGACAGCAGACATACAAAGGCTACACAGCGACAGGAGGCATACAGGGACTACACAGTGACAGCAGACATACAGGGACTTCACAGTGACAGCAGGCATACAGGGGCTACACAGTGACAGCAGACATTCAGAGCCTACACAGTGACAGCAGACATACATGGTGTATCCAGTGACAGCAGACATACAGGGTGTATCCAGGGACAGCAGACATACAGGGCCTTCACAGTGACAGCAGACATACAGGGACTTCACAGTGAACACCAAACATACAGGGTGTATCCAGTGACATCAGAAATACAGGGCATATCCAGTGACAGACATACAGGGTGTATCCAGTGACACCAGACATACAGGGTGTATCCAGTGACACCAGACATACAGGGGCTACACAGTTACAGCAGACATACAGGGGCTACACAGTGACCCAAGATGTACAGGGTGTATCCAGTGACATCAGACATACAGGGACTACACAGTGACAGCAGACATACAGGGTGTATCCAGTGACAGCAGACATACATGGTGTATCCAGTGTCAGCAGATGTACAGGGACTACACAGTGACAGCAGACGTACAGGGTGTATCCAGTGACAGGAGACATACAGGGACTACACAGTGACAGCAGACATACAGGGACTACACAGTGACAGCAGACATACAGGGGCTACATAGTGACAGCAGACATACAAGGGCTACACAGTGACAGCAGACATACAGGGTGTATAGAGTGACAGCAGACATACAGGGACTACACAGTGACAGCAGGCATACAGGGACTACACAGTGACAGCAGACATACAGGACTACACAGTGACAGCAGACATACATGGACTACACAGTGACAGCAGACATACAGGGGCTACACAGTGACAGCAGACATACAAAGGCTACACAGTGACAGGAGGCATACAGGGACTACACAGTGACAGCAGACATACAGGGCATATCCAGTGACAGCAGGCATACAGGGGCTACACAGTGACAGCAGACATTCAGAGACTACACAGTGACAGCAGACATACATGGTGTATCCAGTGACAGCAGACATACAGGGTGTATCCAGGGACAGCAGACATACAGGGACTTCACAGTGACAGCAGACATACAGGGACTTCACAG